AGGATGGAGTGTTTGTGTGAACTAATATAAATTCAAAGTAAACATCATTACATAAAAGGGTACGGTCTTTTTTTTTTTTTTAGTTTTATTCATTTCAAACAGCAGGATCTGGCCCGCGGGCTGTAGTTCGCCCACGGCTGCTCTAGGCAGTGGTTGACTTTGCACCTCACTGGAGACCCAAGGGCCAGTGTACCCAGTGGTCATTGTGAGTCCACATCAGATTACAACTCTTTACATCCATAAGTGACACACTTGAGGGGCAGACTCAGTGAGCACCAAAGCCCCACTGAAGCAAGTCCTGCCCCATAAAGGTGTCTCCTGCACAGCAGCTCTCCCACTGTAGTCGCAGCTGGTCCCCAGCCAATTGGCCAGGAGGTCAATTTTTCCCAGTCACACCAATAGCAATCAAGGCTCAACTACACCAAGGTTGTGCACACAGCCCACAAAGGGGTGCACCTAGAGGGTCCAACTCAGGTGACTGGGGAGGCTGAGCCACTGAGCTCTATAGGACACCTACTACACAAGGCCACTCTATGAACTCAAGGAGACTTAGCAGCTCTACCCAATATATAGAAACAAACACAGGGAAGCAGCCAAAATGCAGATACAAAGAAACATGTCATAAATGAAAGAAATGGAGGAAAGCAAACTACTGGATATAGAGTTTAAAACCACAGTTATAAGGTTACTCAAGAATCTTCTAGAAACCTTCAAGGGACTTAGTGAGACTTTCAAGGATCTTAGTGAGAATGACAAAACAATGGAAAGGGACCAGTCAGAAATTAAGCATACACTGACTGAAATAAAGAATACTACACAGGGATTCAACAGTAGACTAGAGTAGTGGTCGGCAAACTCATTAGTCAACAGAGCCAAATATCAACAGTACAACGATTGAAATTTCTTTTGAGAGCCAAATTTTTTTAACTTAAACTGTATAGGTAGGTACATTGTTCTTAACTTAATTAGGGTACTCCTAAGGCTTAGGAAGAGCCACACTCAAGGGGCCAAAGAACTGCATGTGGCTCGAGAGTCACAGTTTGCCGACCACGGGACTAGAGGATCCCAAGGATCAAATCAACTATTTGAAATATGAGGAAGCAAAAAACACCCAAGCAGAAGAGCAAAAAGAAAAATAAATCCAACCCTGACTGGTTTGGCTCAGTGGATAGAGCGTCAGTCTATGGACTGAAGGGTCCCGGGTTCGATTCCGGTCAAGGGCATGTACCTTGGTTGCGGGCACTTCCCCAGTAGGGGGTGTTCAGGAGGCAGCTGATCGATGTTTCTCTCTCATTGATGTTTCTAGCTCTCTATCCCTCTCCCTTCCTCTCTGT